TGAACCCGGCGGTGGAGGTTGCCGTGAGTGGAGATCCCATCGCTGCACTCAGCCTAAGTGACAGAGCACGACTCCATCTCAAAAAAAAAAAAAAAAAAGTAATAGCCTATTAGTGGTTGAGAAACTGTATATCTTTGAAATGCTCTCCTATTAGTTTTCTCAACTAGGTGAGATATAGGTGTTCCAGACTGACTTAGGATAAAATCTTACCTTTGTATAAGAGTCTTTGCTTTTTAGCTTAGGCATCTGCAAGTTATGAATCTAAAATCATATTATACTTGGTGTTAAATCTAGAACACAGTTGATTCCATACTGTCATTAAATTTTAAAATATAGTTTCAGGCCAGGTGCAGTGGCTCATGCCTGTAATCCTCACACTTTGGGAGGCCCAGGCGAGCAGATCACTTGAGCCTAGGAGTTCAAGACTAGCCTGGGCAACATGGTGAAACTCTGTTTCTACAAAAAGTACAAAAAAAAATTTACTAGCTGCCTGGGAGGCTCAGGTAGGAGGATCACATGATCCCAGTGTTGTGGGTGTGACTACTTGGGGCTAGTGTAAAGGAATTTCCCAAGACAGTTGTAGGTAGAGAAAGGCAGATTTATTAGGGAACGTATGGAAATACATTGCAAGGTTGCAATGGTCAGTACAGCAGAGAAGGGGCCATCTACAAAGAGGCAGAGGCTGAAGGGAAATTTTATAGGGTCATGCTGGAGGCAGGCTAGGAACAGAACAAGGTTGTGGCCAGGCATGGTGGTGCACATGTGTAATCCCAGCACTTTGGGAGGCCGAGGTGGGCAGATCACTTAAGCTCAGGAGTTCTAGACCAGCCTGGGCAACATGGTGAAACCACATCTCTACCAAAAATACGAAAACTTAGCTGGGCTTGGTGATGCGTGCCTGTAGTCCCAGCTTCAGAGGTTGAGGCTGCAGTGAGCCAAGATTGCCACTGCACTCCAGCCTGAGGGACAGAGTGACACCCTGACTCAAAAAAAAAGAACAAGGTTGTTGTGCCTGCAGGTTGTTTGATTAGCCTTTTCTCAGAACAATTGTTCATTGTTCTCCCCAACCTGGGGCACTCCCCCATTGTTGCTTACTTATCTGTGATTGTGCCACTGCACTCCAGCCTGGGCAACTCAAACAAACAAACAAACAATGCAACAGAAAATATATTCTGATGATCACTAAAGTCTGAGCAAAAAAAAAAGAAGGAAGGAAAATATTAAGAAAAATTAGTAAATCACATTGAGGATGTAAGGAAATTGGACTTTTATTTGTGGATATTAATTTTTCATCTTGTAACACTTTAACTTGCTTTCTTTCTCTAATGTATAATCACAATGGGATATGGGTGCACAAGAGAGACATGTCAGAACTTTATTAAAGGGACAATTGAAATAACATTTCAGCGGAGAATGGTAGCTCATGCCTGAAATCCCATCACTTTGAGGGGCCGAGGCAGGAGGGTCACTTGAACCCAGGAGTTTGACTCCAGCGTGGGCAACATGATGAGACCCCATCTCCACACACACACACACAAATTAAAAATTAGCCGAGCATGGTAGCACAGCCAGTTACCCCAGGGGCTGAGATGGGACGATTACTTGAGACCAGGGGGTCGAGGCTGCCAGGAGCTGTGATCATACCTTTGTACTCCAGCCTGGGTGGCGGAACTTTGGTTCATCTGGGAAATTTCAGATAAGCTATTTTCTGTTGTTTTTGTAAACATGAAATTTTCTATTTTTGTGTTTGACCAGAATATTCTGATTTTTCCTCCTAGTGCACGAACAAGAAGCCATTAACTCTGACACAGAGTTATCTAATTGTGAAAATTTTCAGGAGCCTGATGTGAACAATGATGAGAACAGGTCTGATCCTCCTGTAGCAAGCAGTTGTATTTCTGACAAGTCTCCACGTAGTCCACAACTTTCAGATTTCGGACTTGAGCGGTACATAGTATCCCAAGTTCTACCAAACCTTCCGCAGTCAGTGAACAACTATAAGGAAGAGCCCGTAATTTTAACTCCACCTACCAAACAGTCACTAGTAAAAGTACTAAAAACTCCAAAATGTGAACTAAAAATGGATGATTTTGAGTGTGTAACTCCTAAATTAGAACACTTTGGTATCTCTGAATATACTATGTGTTTAAATGAAGATTACACAATGGGACTTAAAAATGTGAGGAATAATAAAAGGTAAGCATCTCTGTTAAAAGGCAAATTTTATCTAGTGTTCTAAATCTTTTGTATTGGGCTTTTTCCAGAAGAAATATGTTTTAGACAACATTTTTTCTTTAAAAAGTTTTCAGATACTTACTTATTTTATTTCAGTAGGTTTTAGGGGAACAGGTGGTGTTTGGTTACATCAGTAAGTTCTTTAGTGGTGACATTTTCAGGTTCTTTATATTACAAACCTTGAATCACCAATACTATCAGTAAAGTGTGAGCTGTTGGTTTCTTTAGGTGAGAGACTAGAGAAGGAGTGATAGGGGCCTGAAAAAAGATGGTATGGAACATAACGCACCAAACTGATTACCATGAGTAATCAACAAGTCCCAGTGGATGTAACTAGCCAGAGATTTTCCTCTCATTTAAGTGGGAAAGTTAGACAGTTCCCCTCTGATTCAGCTGACCCCTGTCCCGGGATGGGAAGGAAGGACGACATTGAGAATAATACCAAGTTACTGCTAGATCCAGGATTCCACCAAAACTTCCATCCAGTTACACCAGGTTTGGTCTTATGCTATCTTTTTGATGGATTACATGAAGCACTGAAATAAGTTGGTGTGAATGAGAGAAGTGCAATAACTATGGAGGGAAAGCAGCCATTGACACCTTTACTTTTCAAGAAATCATTGACGGACCAGGACAAAGTTACGAGAATGGAAATGGCATCAATACTTCCTCACTACTGTGATTTGCTAATAGGGATGGTAATTGGGTCTAGTGACAAAGTCCAATCCAACAGCATTCAGATCCAGAAGCGATTCCATGGGATGATGGTGGCGCTTTGCAGAGCACCTGATGGTGAAGGTGCAAATCTACTGGTTGCTTATAATGCTGGACCTGCCATAGATTGGATCAACAGCCAATCCTGGGTTGGAGAGCTTGTCTTTGCATTTCTATTCAAAAAATTTGAAACACTGGGGAAAGAGCTATTAGACCAGGTTAAGCTTGTTGCTGCTGGAGCTCGGATGACTGTAGTCTTCACAATACAAGCTTATCTGGAGCAGCGCATGGATGGATCACCCGTGATACCCTCAGTTCTTTCAGATATAGTAGAGATTGAGAAAAGAATTACCAGCGCAAAAAACAAAATGGGAGCCGGGCGCGGTGGCTCAAGCCTGTAATCCCAGCACTTTGGGAGGCCGAGGCGGGTGGATCACGAGGTCAAGAGATCGAGACCATCCTGGTCA